TCAAGGGACGCTGAAGAGAGAGAGAAGGGAGAGAAATCGCGACGTAGCGAACGAGCGATCTGGTGGGTGGCGCGGCGACATGGAAGGGGCAACGCAGGAGGGTAGGGGATAGACGACCACGGTTGGAGCGACGGAGAAAAAAAAAACACGACGGAGAGAGGTAAAGGAGGTTAGGGGAACGAGGGACAGAGACGCAATGGTTCGGAATGAGTCGGATAAAGGGCAGAGGGACCAAGGAAGGGAGAAGACAGCGTGGTCGGATTTGATCGAAAGGGTGGGCGGGGAAAGGGGATGCTTTTACCTCCAGGGACAGATACTTCCACGAAGAGAGGGAGAATTCGCACGCGACCATCTACCCCCCTATCGATGGACGTTCAATTCTTCGGACTTTTAGTAACTGGCCATATAACTCGAGTTCCTTATGTCTTCAGCGAATTTTGAGCATCTGATAATTTACTTGTGGACCTGATCATTTTATTACTCGCATATGAAATTTAGACCCCTTTCAAAATTTTTAGAGGCAAGGAACCTTGGTCTTCCTTAGTATTTCCACATTTATTTTAAAGGAGTAAAATACGGTTTTCCTTTTTACTCATCATCGTCATTTTGTAGCTCTAAACTGTATTTAATTTCTGTGAAATTATGGCGAAGTAAAAATTTCAGTATACTGTAATTATCAAATTAAATTGCTTCAAACGTCCCGAAATTTTGTAAAAAAAAATGAATTAACACGTCCCCATAAATAAATTAAAACCTTGAATAACCTTTAACAATCTTTGAAGCTGTAAAAAAATAATGCAATAAAAAAGAATTATCAAGCAGTAACCTTGAAGTACTTGAAGCAGTGATAAGAGAAGATAATAATTATCTCCCATCTTGCAATTATTTTCTAGAAAATTTTACCAATTATAAAATTGCCGGTGTCGAACGTAAATTGATATTTTAAACCGTTAAATAATTATAACTTTTATCCGCAAGAAGTTTCTAATAAAAATCGAAGGAGCTGAAGTTTTTTCTTCAGATTATATCGTCCCGCCTTTCTCAATAGCTCTTCTATTTTTTCCCCATAATTTTCACTGTTCTTCGAGCTATTAATAACTATAACGCTCTTATTGATTTTTTTTTTTTTCATTTCATAGGCCTGGAAACTTTTTTCCTTCGCAGCTTTCAAGATACACGCCCTTCGCTTTCTTCGGTCTTCGTTTGCAATATTATCAATAAATAAGCTTCGTTCAAACTTTTAATATCCGTAAAAAATACGCTATAAAAATTAAAAAATTATAGTCAAAAATTTTCTGGAAATTTTGAAAGAAATGTCACTCTCGATAATAATAAATTTTATTTCTTTTCGATTAATATTGCAATTTCATTCTTAGAAACTTCGCTAAATTTTATGGGCCTTTTACAAAAGCAGTTTTGCAAATTTTAATGATCAAATTGAGAGACAATGATGCAGCACGGAGCTATCGGAAACTTCCGTTGACCTCTCGTGATAATTCGACGCAGCACGCGCGAAATGAAAAAGGTTAACGAAATGCATAAATTGGGAATTGCTGATTGGGGTGTTTTGTTAGAAATGCGATATAGAGGATTCATTCTTTCCTGATATTTAGTTGAACTTTACCCCCCGTGGCGGTAATCAAAACTCCGCGATTGTGTCTACGATTTATTGTTACCCGTACTTATAATAAAGCATCAGAAAAATGACCGCCATTTATCTGGACCGATTTGTCCTGATCACAAAATCTGTTGATTATACGATTTTATATTTAATCGACGTCTTGTCATTTTAACAGTGTCGACATTTTTTAAATTTAAGGTAAAATTGATTTTTTTAAGAAAGGGGGATGAAAGTGACGATAAGGGTTGCAAGATTAAAAATGTAACAAAGTATCAAATTTTTACTGTAAATAAATTATTTACTGATCTTTGTGTTTGTGTATTAATTTATATGTTCATTGCTGTATTAATTTATATGTTCATTGCTGTATTTATTTATTTGTCTATATATGTATTTATTTATCCATGTGTGTATATGTATGTATTTATTTATCCACATATGTGTACGTATGTATTTATTTATACACATATGTCTGTGTATGTATTTATTTATCCTCATATGTATATGTATGTATTTATTTATCCACATATGTGTACGTATGTATTTATTTATCCACATATGTCTATGTATGTATTTATTTATCCACATATGTCTATGTATGTACTTATTTATCCACATATTTATTTATCCATCCATATATGTATTCATTAATCCACATATACATGTATTTATTTATGCACCCACATATGTGTTTATTCATCAACCCATACATGTACATATTCGTCCACATATCTCTTCATTTACCTATATATTTATATACTCACTAGCAAAAGTGTTAAATTAAAATTTGAATAAAATATAAAAAAAAGAAATGAGAGTCTTTGATACTGTATAAGTCTGAAAAGTGATTAGGACATTTTGAATCTCCGTAGAGTAGCAAATTTTATCGTGAGAAATTGCAGCTGGTGAGTAAATTAGGGAAAGAATGAGAACCATTAGATCCACCGAAAAAGAGCAAGTCCAAGATCGTACTATCAATTACGTGTGCCCTGCTCTAATACTTATTTTACAGCAAATCGAATTAGAGTGCTCGGTGGTCAGCGATTCTAGCTCTCGAGAAAGAACGATCTTCTGCAACGATACTTTTTACCAAATAGGTTACAAGCTTATTATAATGCAGAAGCTCGTTAACTTACAAGCTTATTATAAAAGTTAATTACAATATAATTTAATATGTCGGAGCGAGTTTGGTGGAATTTTGCTTTTTATGTTTGTACTTATTAGCATAATACTGTAGCACTTTATTATATAAAAAAGGATTGAAAGACAATGGTCGATGAAAGTAATTAATTAGTAAAAGTTGCAATAATTTTGCAAACCTTGTTCATATGCGTATTTTAAAATTTATGTACAGGTAAGTAAAAATGGTGTCGCTAGTGCCCTCTGGAGGTTGAGGCACGAACCATAAAAACAGAAAATTGCATTTTTTCGTGAAATAGGACACTTTTATGTACCTGTGATGTTCACAAATTGTTCTACGAACTAAACGAAGTAAAAAGAGTGCCTTTGCAGTGGATTTGAAGCTCCATATTAAAAGAAAATGGAAGAAATTGCAGTTTATGGACGTCAAATCCGTAGCCATCTAGTGGTAAAAGACGAGAACTATGTTTGCAATACAATTATTGCGTTTATTGATTATTTTTGCCTTCTTATTAACTTCAGAATGTTCTAACATTAATTAATAATCCTTTTCAAAGCATGTTATTGTCAATGAAGTCATATTTAATGAATTAATTCTAAAATGGTATACGTAGCGCCATCTGCAGGTGAAATATGACACTAGTAAAATGGAAAATATCGATTTTCTTCAAAATTAGCGATTTTTATTCACTGCGAGGGACATTAGAATATTCTGTGACTTCAATAGAAGTGAAAGTATACCATCAGAAGTAATTTTATAGCGTTAGAAACGAAAATTAAAAGAATTTCACACAACGAACGAAATCTTTAGCCATCTAGCGGTAGAAGGTGAGAATTAATGAAACTAAACGATCACAATTTTTGTTTTAATTCACTTTTTCGACTTCCTAACATTTGTAAGACATTCTCAAGCCTTTCCATTCTACTATTATCAAGTCATTATTGCATAATTAATCGAGAAAGGTGTTACTTGTTGAGATATTGCACTCGAAAGTCAGTTCCATTAGTTCCTATCTTTCACCGCTAGGTGGCTGAACATTTTACCGTCAATGAGGTGCAATATTTTCTTTTCTGACGCCTTTGGCAGACGATGACGACACTCTTTCAATTCTACTATAATCGTAGAACATCCTACTCGTCTCGAAACTAAGTAAAAATCACTGATTTTAGAGAAAAATGCAAATTCCTGTTCCCATAGTTCCCTTCGCGACTGCCAGATAGCGCTGAAGGTACTGTTTCCACACAAAAGCGCGCGAAATTACGAACTTTCAAAATATGTGTTAGAACCCTCAGAATACTTTATACTAATAAAATGAACTAATCCTAATCTTGCTCACAATAACTGCAAATTTAACTTGAATACAAATCAAGCTTTTGATTATTCCTTTCATAAATCAAACATACTTGCTTAGACTTCACACACGTTTTGCAGGGACTTTGGTTACAGTCTTCCTTACAAAACACAGATAGTCAAAGAAATTTCTTAGAGCTTGAATACCATTGCAAATTCGTGAAGTAGTGAAATCTTCAAAAGAGGAATTGCTGCAGTACCAGCAATAGGTCTAACCTACCCCTCGAAGGTATTTCCCTCCGCCCCACAAGATGGCGTGCCGTAGAGCCGCGAAGACCGCCAGGCGCATCGAATTTGAATGCAGGGGTAACCGAAGCACGGGTCGGCGACACGGCGGCAGACCGGCCGGCACTTCGCGTACAGTCGTCGCGACGTGCGGACGTTCTCTTTCCTTCACCCGAACATGACATATCCCCGAAACGTCGAAAAACCGAACTGAACCCCCCAAAATGTGTCAAACCTAACCTAAGTGCGTGTTGATCCAAGTGCAGTGCCCATTCGAGTTGACAAGAAAAATGGGTCGACAACAATTCTCGTTTCGGCAGATCGAAACGATATCCTCTCGGAGCGCGGTTCCGAGCTGGTGACCAAGTGGCAAATCGGAGTGTTATGTGTGAAGGTGTTGTTGTTACTTGCGAATCATGCCCTTCGTGCTGCGGAGAGTGGAGCCGCGGCTGTTGTGTCGCGGGCACGTGCCCGCGGG